GAAAGAGCACAGAGACTATTGCTCACTCCAGCATAAACAAGACCACACTGACGATGCCTCAATCACTTCCTCCACCACTGCTTCAACCCTCATATTTTTTGTACAATTTCCTTCTTCAATTCTATAGCATTATTATTATTATTATTATTATATTATTATTATTATTATTAGCAGTATCAGAAATGTTGATTCTTTGCCGTATTCAAGAGTAAACAAATGATGTCACTGTCCAATACCTGACCAAATGGCCATTCCAATATGCAGTCATGAATGGGTTGACATTATTTATACTGTAGTTTAACCCTTTCAGGGTTTCGGCCGTACTAGTATGGCTTAAGCACCAGCGTTTTTGACGTACAGTGGACCCCCGCATACCATTGGCATCACATAACGTTAAATCCGCATACCGCTACATTTTATCGCCAAGATTTTGCCTCGCATACCGCTAAAAAACCCTCTCAACGCTGTTCGTCCGAGACGCGTCTAATGTGCGCCCTTAGCCAGCCTCACATGTTCCGCCGGTGGCATTGTTTACCAGCCAGCCTCCGCGGTAACATCCAAGCATACAATCGGAACATTTCATATTATTACAGTGTTTCTGGTGATTTTATCTGCAAAATAAGTGACCATGGGCCCCAAGAAAGCTTCTAGTGCCAACCCTACAGCAATAAGGGTGAGAATTACTATAGAGATGAAGAAAGATATCATTGATAAGTATGAAAGTGGAGTGCGTGTCTCCGAGCTGGCCAGGTTGTATAGAAAACCCCCAATCAACCATCGCTACTATTGTGGGCAACAAAATGCAATCAAGGAAGCTGTTCTTGCCAAAGGTTTTAACTGTGTTTTCGAAACAGAGATCGCAAGTGATGGAAGATGTTGAGAGACTCTTATTGGTGTGGATAAATGAGAAACAGATAGCAGGAGATAGCATCTCTCAAGTGATCATAAGTAAAAAGGCTAGGAAGTTGCATCAGGATTTAATTAAAAAAATGCCTGCAACTAGTGATGATGTGAGTGAATTTAAGGCCAGCAAAGGTTGGTTTGAGAGATTTAAGAGGCGTAGGGGGCATACATAGTGTGATAAGGCATGGTGAGGCTGCCAGTTCGGACCACAAAGCAGCTGAAAAATATGTGCAGGAATTCAAGGAGAAACATAGAAACTGAAGGACTGAAACCTGAACAAGTGTTTAATTGTGATGAAACAGGCCTGTTTGGAAGAAAATGCCAAGCAGGACCTACATTACTCTGGAGGAAAAGGCACTCCCAGGACATAAGCCTATGAAAGACAGGCTTACTCTGTTGATGTGTTCCAATGCTACTGGTGATTGCAAAGTGAAGCCTTTATTAGTGTATCACTCTGAAACTCCCAGACCGTTCAGGCAAAAGAATGTCCTCAAGGAAAATTTGTGTGTGCTGTGGAGGGCAAACAGTAAGGCATGGGTCACTAGGGACTTTTTCTATGACTGGTTACACCATGCTTTTGCCCCAATGTGAAAGATTACCTAACTGAAAAGAAATTAGAACTTAAGTGCCTCCTCGTGTTAGACAATGCCCCTGGTCATCCTACAGACGTGGCAGAGCGACTTTATGGGGACATGAAATTCATTAAGGTGAAGTTTTTGCCTCCTAATACCACTCCTCTCCTGCAGCCCATGGACCAGCAGGTTATTGCAAACTTTCAAAAAACTGTACACAAAAGCTCTGTTGAAAGGTGCTTTGTAGTGACCTCAGAAACTCAACTGACTCTAAGAGACTTTTGGAGAGATCACTTTAATATTCTCAATTGTGTAAACCTTATAGGTAAGGCTTGGGAGGGAGTGACTAAGAGGACCTTGAACTCTGCTTGGAAGAAACTGTGGCCAGAATGTGTAGACCAAAGGGATTTTGAAGGGTTTCAGGCTAACCCTGAGAATCCTATGACAGTTGAGGAATCCATTATGGCATTGGGAAAGTCCTTGGGGTTGGAGGTTAGGGGGATGATATGGAAGAGTTTGGTGGAGGAGGACAATGAAGAACTAACCACTGATGAGCTGATAGATCAACTTCAACAGCAAGAAGCCAGACCTGAGGAAACTGATTCGAAGGAGGAGAGAGAGAAATTGAAGAAATTGCCTACTACAAAGATTAAGGAAATCTGTGCAAAAATGGCTTGAAGTGCAAACCTTCATGGATGAAAATCACCCTCACACAGCTATTGCAAGCCGTGCTGGTGACTATTACACTGACAATGTTGTGAAACACTTTAGGGAAGTCATAAAGGAACGAGAGGTACAGGCCACTATGGACAGATATGTTGTGCGACAGAACTCCAGTGACTCTGAAGCTGGTCCTAGTGGCATTAAAAGAAGAAGGGAAGAAACCCCAGAAAAGGACTTGACACCTCAAGTCTTAATGGAAGGGGATTCCCCTTCTAAACACTAACACTCTCTCCTCCTCCCATCCCATCAATCATCACCAGATCTTCAATAAAAGTAAGTGTCATGTAATTGTGCATGCCTTTTTCAATTTGTGTGTATTAAAATTAATATTTCATGTGGTAAAAATTTTTTTTTCATACTTTGGGGTGTCTTGCACGGATTAATTTGATTTCCATTATTTCTTATGGGGAAAATTCATTCGTATAACGATAATTTCGCATAACAATGAGCTCTCTTGCACGGATTAATATCGCTATGCGGGGGTCCACTGTACTAGTATGCCTAAATTCTAGCGCCCTCAAATCTAGTGAGAGAAAGCTGGTAGGACTACATATGAAAGAATGGATCTATGTGGTCAGTGTGCGTAGTATAAAAAAAATCCTGCGGCACACAGTGCGTAATGAGAAAAAAAACTTTGACCGTGTTTTTGGATTAAAACCGACTTTGCACTGTATTTTCGTATGGTATTTATTGTTGTATTCTAGTTTTCCTGGTCTCATTTTATAGAATGGAAGACATATTACAGAAATTGAGATGATTTTGACTGATTTTACAATGAAAAGTACGTTGAAATTGAGCTCAAAGTAGCAGAAATGTTCGATTTTTACCAAAGTTCAAAAGTAAACAAATCATGCTAAGCGTCCAATACACGTAAACTGGTGAGTCTAATATTCTTTGACAAGTGTGCTGATATTATTTATACCATTTCTACACTAATGCAGTAGTCTGCATAACAGTAAATCTTCTACTTTTTGTGAGAATAAAAATTCAAAGTGGAAAGCAAAAGAATGTAAAAGGGGCGTGGGGACATGACTAATGAATAGAGGAAATGTCATTTTAGTGCCAGGAATGTCTTTCTTGTTTATTCTGGATCCTATTTGGAAATTAGCATCTTTTGAAATTTGTGTGAAATTGGCAAAATTGCTAAATTCTGACCACTGTATTGGATAGTTGAAATTGGTAAATGGGTGGTTTCTTGTACTTATTCGATAAAAAAAATGGAGTTCTAGTGAAATAGTTATGATTTTTGTTGACTAGTATAGTGGAATTGGCCGAAAATAGGGCTTAAAGTGGGCAAAATTGCCGATGCGTAAACATCATTGAGACCGCTAACTTCGCAAGAGCATAACTCGGTAAGTTTTCCATCAAATTTCATACTTTTGGTGTCATTATGATCGGGAAAAGATTCTCTAACTTTTCATAAGAAAAAATTATTTTTTTTTTTGAAACTTGGGCGACCCTGAGAACAAGTCTCTGAGAGGGCCTGTCAACCCTGAAAGGGTTAATAACAAATAATGAACAAACAAAACTCTCACCACACTGAGTGGTGGGAGGGCTGGCTGCCAGTTGCGGGGGTCAGACGGAGGGTAGTAGGGACTCGCAGGTGGCAGGAAACTTAAATATGATTTGGAGCCTGGGAATTTAGAGGATGAGAATTTGGCGGTTAGGAATTCACGAATGTGTGACGCTCGCGAAAGTTGAAAATGCGAATGTTGAAGGAGACCTGTATTTACACTTACCTTGGAGATGTTAGTTTAATTAGTTTGATGGAGGAGATATTGGCAGAGGTTTAGGGTGGTGGAAGATAGCAGGGCAGCGTATGTTAAGTGGCCCTTTACACCTCCAACAACACTGGAGAGTTACTGTCGTCTCATTTTTCTATTGCTTAATTGCTTAAATTACTTGCTACACTGTTAATGCCACACTTTGTCACTGGCTAGCACTATAGCCTTTATCAATACCTGCTGCTTTAGTATCGTACATATCGTAGATTCACTGAATCACCGAAGAAGGCACATTCTCCCCTCTCTCTTCCTCCTCCACTTTGGTACTTTGCTACAAGTTTTTTCTTTAATTCTATTCTGTTTCTTTCCGTCTTTACCAAAGGCCTGGCACTAGAAACTTTCTTTGGGCCCATGGTGGCTTATTTAGCAGTTGCAAGCACAAAAAACAATGGATTATTATGAAATGTATCGCATGAACCCATGGGGTGATGGTCACTCGCTGATAAACAATAGCACGCTGAGTGCGAATGGTGCGGGAAACTGGCTTTGTGTGCACGCTGACGCTGGGATGCCGCTTGGACGTGTACAAGATGGTCGCCAAATCACAAGGCCAATCATGAACCGCGAGGCTATATTTTGCCGAAAAAAGTTGCCGAAAGTCGGATTTCATAAAAGTCGTGGCCGCCAAAAGGCAGGGGTCCACTGTACATATTATGGTTTAATAACAAATATGATTGGACGGCTGGCCATTCATGAATGCTTGAAGCTCACAAAAGTGGAACTCGTGAAAGCGGAGGGCTAGCTGTACGCTACTATATAAACATTTAAAAATATACTAAAAATGTTATAAATGGTGCAAAGGTGACATGAAACAATATTGAAAATGACTGACACAAACCCACTACCACTGAAGTATGCTCCTTGCTTAGCAACGAATTTGTTTACAAATGTGGTCTTAGAAACGGAACTCCATCATTAAGTGAGGAGAGGCTGTATTATATTCATCGTGAAAATTATTAAATGACTGTCTTTTTATGATGCTACAACAATCACCTGACACCATTTTCATATAACCTACTTGGTTCCTTTCTTCTTCTTCTCCTTTCTCTCTTCTTTTGGTACTTCATTCTGAATCTTTAACCGAGGAACAATATCTGGGAATGGGTTGTTGAGGACCTCGGTTGTGAGGATCTTGAAGGGATACTCGGGTCTGTCATCCTGCAAGTGAAGCTTTTTTTATTCATCTACACATTCACAAAAGCACTCACTCTTAGATGACATTTATGAAAATCTGTCATGTGACAGCACCACATTTACAAGAGCACTCACTCTCAGATGACATATATGACAGTCTATCAAGTGACAGCATCTCAACACTCTGTCATTTAAAGTGGGGAAGCAACTCACTTTTTTTATTATTTCTAAAACTCTTTCTACAGTAAAACAAACAACCTAATAAAGTGGAGAACAGTAAACAAGTGACACTGGAGTAACTGACAAGTATAGACTATTTTCCAGAAAGTCCCTTGTTATGCACAATATTTTGGTCAGTTTTAAAATTAACTTATAATTACTAGACCATGAGACAAATACAGTAACTTACCAGGATGTTATAGTTTGCCATATTTAATATTTATTTTGACACTAAGGTACAGTATATGAATTATATTTTGAGATCTAATGTAACAATTTACTACAACGTTTATAATAGGAAACACGGAGGTAGAGGACAAATTTGGTTACTACATATGCTGAAACACATTGTTGATAATGCGAACATCAGTATAAATGTTAATTAATATGATTTGTATCAAGAGGGCAGGGTTGCTATTACCCTTAAACTGTCCAAACATAAATCTATATTCACTTGCATAGCACTCTGAATATTTTGAAAAAAAAAAATCTTTTTTTTTTTAATGAAGAGCGCATTCTTCTACATGTTATAAGATAAAAAAAAATCTGAGGGTCAGTACTTACCGAGATATAAGCCAGTGAAGTTGGCACTGGATGCTCACCTGACAGCAACATTGACTCCTGCCGCTTGCAGAAGTGTTGCCAATATACCTTTTTTTCTCGTTTTAATTTTTAATTCATATGAAGTGGACCCCCGGTTTATGATCAGCTCCCAATGCGACCAATTATGTAAGTGTATTTATGTAAGTGCGTTTGTATGTGTATGTTTGGGGTCTGAAATGAACTAATCTAATTCACAATATTCCTTATGGGAACAAATTCGGTCAGTACTGGCACCTGAACATAATTCTGGAATGAAATAATATCGTAAACCAGGGGTCCACTGTATTTTTTATGTTCTGATAATTACAATTTATAATAGTTCTTGTGATTCAATAGCCAATCTTTGTTCTGACACTAATGTTAGGTACTGAAATAGTACTCAAATAGTCACAGTCACACTGACAGGTGAAAATTTTCACCTGCCTGTCTAGATATATATACAAAGTATTTATAGGTCCCAGCAATGTTTTAGACACGCTGGAGTAAACCTTGAAGCACGGTGTTATAACAAGTTTCAGTACACTGTTGACAGGCAGTGACACTCAGGGAACCCTCCTTTATTTGTTTTCACTATTACAAACAAACATTTCTGTCTGTCTGTCTGTCAATCTATCTATCTGTCTGTCTGTCTATCTGTCTGTCTGTCTCTGCTTATCTGTCTATCTAGCTCTGCTTATCTGCCTTTCTGTCTGCCTGGAGTATATATGAATCTCCTTGAAGAATGGTGTTATAACAAGTGTCCGTAAACTGTTGACAGCCCAGTGATACTTGATAAATGGGCACTGCTCCAGGGAACAGACGCTTTATTTGTTTTCACTGTTACACACAAACATGTCTGTCTGTCTGTCCATCTGTCTGTCTAGCTCTGCTTATATGTGTCTAGCTCTACTTATCTGTCTTTCTGTCTGCCTGTGTGTGTCTGTCTTTCTGTCTGCTGTCTATATCTCAGGGAGCAGCTGTAAAACTGTTGGTTTATGAGCCGCTCACTGACTCCTGAGCAAGTAAAAATGCATATTACATCATGGTTATTTATGTCTTATATCTACAAACACAGATAGCACTTTGCCTGGAATTTTTGGGTTATTTTAGGTAATTTACACTGTGTATAATAACTGTACTTATGTGTGCATGTGAGAGAGACACAGAGATATGGACAGATAGACAGAGATGTAGACAAAGAGAGCCAAGCCAGCCCAGCCAAGCCAAGCCAAGCCCAGCCCAGCCCAGCCCAGCCCAGCCCAGCCCAGCCCAGCCCAGCCCAGCCAGCCAGCCAGCCAGCCAGCCAGCCAAATACATAAAAAACATAAGAAATAAAGAACACTGCAGCAGGCCTAATGGCCCATGCAAGGCAGGTCCATGTCACCCCCCCAGCTTAGACCAATGACCCACCTAGTCAGGTCACATCCACTGAAGGAAGGAGCACAGCATCAGACCTAGTAGCACAAGCTAGTCAGGTCCAACTCACACACACCCACCCACACCCACTAATGTATTTATCTAACTTATTTTTACTTTCCTCTTAAAAGGGGAGTGTTAATGCGACATAACATCAGTGAATCCCTGGTGTTTACCATGCTATTTGACTCTAGCTGGTGCTCAGTTGAACTGCTGCTCCCACAAGATACTAAATGGTACCAGATTTTTTAATACTGTGCACAGTGAGTGCACAGACCCATTCTCTCACGTCTAGGCGACTCAGGCCTATCGCCCCAATTCCGATGGAAAGAAAAATAAAATGGAGCGCTACGCGAGCAAGCGTATATCTGCATTTGGACAGATAGTTCTTGTTCTTCTTTAATTATTCTATTGCCCATGGGGAAGTGGAAAAGAATCTTTCCTCCGTAAGCCATGCGTGTCGTATGAGGCGACTAAAATGCCGGAAGCAATGGACTAGTAACCCCTTCTCCTGTAGACATTTACTAAAAAAGAGAAGAATAACTTTATAAAACTGGGATGTTTGAATGTGCGTGGATGTAGTGCGGATGACAAGAAACAGATGATTGCTGATGTTATGAATGAAAAGAAGTTGGATGTCCTGGCCCTAAGCGAAACATAGCTGAAGGGGGTAGGGGAGTTTCGGTGGGAAGAAATAAATGGGATTCAATCTGGAGTATCTGAGAGAGTTACAGCTAAGGGGTAGGTAATAATGTTGAAGGATCAGTTATGGAAGGAGAAAAGAGAATATGAATGTGTAAATTCAAGGATTATGTGCATAAAAGTAAAGGTTGGATGCAAAAAGTGGGTCATAATAAGCATGTATGCACCTGGAGAAGAGAGAAATGTAGAAGAGAGAGAGAGATTTTGGGAGATGTTAAGTGAATGTATAGGAACCTTTCAACCAAGTGAGAGAGTAATGTGTGGTAGGGGACCTGAATGCTAAAGTAGGAGAAACTTTTAGAGAGGGTGTGGTAGGTAAGTTTGGGGTGCCAGGTGTAATGATAATGGGAGCCCTTTGATTGAACTTTTGTAAGAAAGGGGTTTGTTTTTAGGAAACATATTTTTAAAAAAAAGAGGATAAATAAAGTATACAAGATATGATGTACGGCAAATGACAGTAGTTTGTTGGATTATGTATTGGTAGATAAAGACTGTTTAGTAGACTTCAGGATGTAACATGTTTATAGAGGGGCCACAGATATATCAGATCACTTTTTAGTTGTAGTACTCGAGAGTAAAAGGTAGAGGGGGTACAAGGAGAATAGAGCATCAGGTAAGAGAGAGGTGAAGGTTTATAAAAATAAAAGAGGAGGGGAGTTAGGGTAAGATATAAACAACTATTGGAGGATAGATGGGCTAATGAGAGCATAGGCAATGGGGTCGAAGAGGTATGGGGTAGTTTAAAAATTAGTGTTAGAGTATCAGCAGAAGTTTGTGGTTACAGGAAAGTGGGTGCGGGAGGGAAGAGGAGCGAAATTTGGGGGAATGATGATGTAGAGAGAGTAGTAAGGGAGAAAAAGTTAGCATATGAGAAGTTGTTACAAAGTAGAAGTGATGCAAGGAGGGAAGAGAATATCGAGAAAAAAGAGAGGTTAAGAGAGTGGGTGAAAACAATGTAAAAAGAGAGCAAATGAGAGAGTGGGGGGGAGATGTTATCAACAAAAAATTTTTTGAAAATAAGAAAAAGTTTTGGAGTGAGATTAACAAGTTAAGGAAACCCAGAGAACAAATGGATTTTTTCAGTTAAAAATAGGAGAGGAGAGTTATTAAATGGAGAGTTAGAGGTATTGGGAAAAATGGAGGGAATATTTGAGGATTGTTTAATGTTGATGAAGATAGGGAAGCTGTGATTTCGTGTATGGCAAGGAGGAATAACATCTTGTAGGAGTGAGGAAGAGCCATTGTGAGTGTGGGGGAAGTTCATGAGGCAGTAGGTAAAAAAGAAAGGGGGGAGGCAGTGGGATTGATGGGATAAAAATAGAAAAGTTAAAAACAGGTGGGGATATAGTTTTGGAGTGGTTGGTGCTATTATTTAATAAATATATGGAAGAGGGTAGGTAAACCCGGGGATTGGCAGAGAGCATGCATGTTCCTTTTTTATAAAGGCAAAGGGGACAAAAGAAAATGCAAAAATTATAGGGGGATAAGTTGTTGAGTAAGGTTATGAGGATAACAAAAAGATTAGGTGATGAAAGATTGGAAAATCAGATTGGAGGGAGAGAGTATGGAGGAGGTGAATGTATTCAGATATTTGGGAGTGGACGTGTCAGCGGAGGGTTATGAAGATGAAGTGAATCATAGAATTGATGAGGGAAAGGGTGAGTGGTGCACTTAGGAGTCTGTGGAGACAAAGAACTTTGTCCTTGGAGGCAAAGAGGGAATGTATGAGAGTATAGTTTTACCAAACGCTCTTATATGGGTGTGAAGCATGGGTGATGAATGTTTCAGCGAGGAGGAGGCTGGAGGCAGTGGAGATGGTCATGTCTGAGGGCAATGTGTGGGGTGAATTAATGCAGAGAATTCGTAGTTTGGAAGTTAGGAGGAAGGTGGGGATTACCAAAACTGTTGTCCAGAGGGCTGAGGAAGGGTTGTTGAGGTGGTTCGGACATGTAGAGAGAATGGAGCGAAAAAGAATGACTTCAAGAGTGTATCAGTCTGTAGTGGAAGGAAGGCGGGGGGGGAGGGGTAGGCCTAGGAAAGGTTTGGAGGGAGGGGGTTTAAAAGGAGGTTTTGTGTGCGAGGGGCTTGGAAATTCCAGCAGGCATGCGTGAGCATGTTTGATAGGAGTGAATGGAGACAAATGGTTTTTAATACTTGACGTGCTGTTGGAGTGTGAGCAAAGTAACATTTATGAAGGGATTCAGGGAACCGTCAGGCCGGACTTGAGTCCTGGAGATGGGAAGTACAGTGCCTGCACTCTGAAGGAGGGGTGTTAATGTTGCAGTTTAAAAATTGTAGTGTAAAGCACCCTTCTGGCAAGACAGTGATGGAGTGAATGATGGTGAAAGTTTTTCTTTTTCGGGCCACCCTGCCTTAGTGGGAATTGGCCAGTGCGATAATAAAAAAAAAAATAATATTTTTTATGTTCTGATAATTACAATTTATAATAGCTCTTGTAATTTCATAGCCAATCTTTGTTCTGACACTAATATTAGGTACTGAAATAGTGCTCAAATAGTCACAATCACATTGACAGGTGAACATTTACACCTGCCTGGGTTATTTACTATTGTCTAGAAATATATACAAAGTATTTATAGGTCATAGGTCCCAGCAAAGTTTTAGATATCCTGGCATATACCTTGAAGCATGGTGTTAAGAAAGGCATCCCTATACTGTTGACTGCTCCAGCTAACCCTCGCTGTATTTGTTATCACTGTTACACACAAACATGTCTTACCTCTCTGTCTATCTGTCTGTGTGTCTACCTGTCTGTCTACCTGCCTGTCTATATGTCTATGTATCTGTCTGTGTCTGTCTGCCTGTCTATTTATCTCTGCTTATCTGTCTGTCTGCCTGGAGTACATGTATATGAAACTGCTTGAAGTATGGTGTTATGACAACTGTTGACAGCCAGGTGACATCTGATAAATGGACGCTTGGGAAACCCAGGCTTTATTTGTTTTCACTGATACGCACAAACATGTTTGTCCATCTCTCTATCTACTTGTCTATCTATCTGTCTATCTATCTTTGCCTGGAATTTTTGGGTTATCTTAGGTAATTTACACAATGTATAATAACTGTAAACCAGACTCTATGACCGCGGGTTCAATCCCGGCCGGGGGTATGGTTTATTTGCAATCGTGTCATTACTATTTCTTAAGTCAGTTATAATAACTGTACTTATGTGTACATGTGAGACAGAGATATAGATAGACAGAGATATACATAGATAGAGATATAGACAGAGAGACAGCCAAAACAAGCCAGCAAGACAGCCAGCCGGCCAGCCTGCCAAATACATAAGAACATAAGAAAGAAGGAACACTGCAGCAGGCCTGCTGGCCCATGCAAGGCAGGTCCATGTCCCCTCCCTCAGTTTAGACCAATGACCCACCTAGTCAGGTCACATCCACTGAAGGAAGGAGCATGACATCAGACCTAGTAGCACAAGCTAGTCAGGTCCAACTCACACCCACCCACATTCACTCATGTATTTATCTAACATGTTTTTACTTTCCTCTTAAAATGGGAGTGTTAATGCGTCATGGCATCAGTGAATCCCTGATATCTGCCACGCTCTTTGCTCTAGCTGGCGCTCAATTGAACTGGTGCTCCCACAAGGTACTAAGTGCTCCCAGATTTTTCTAATACCGCACACACGGAGTGCACAGACCCATTCTTTCATGTCTAGGCGACTCAAGCCTATTGTGCCAAATTTGAAGGAATGAAAAATAAAACATTGATCTATGTTCGGAGTGCTACGCGAGCAAATGTAGATCTATGTTTGGACAGTTTAAGGTTAATAACCACGATGATAACTTCATTTAGTTGAGGACTTACCTTTCCTATAACTCCTTCTTCAAACCGTGACAAGTTATAAAGCGTATTCCCAGTGATTTTACCAAAGATGGTGTGCTTGTTTTGTAGCTCTGGGGTCGGACCAAGAGTAAAAAAGAACTGCGAACCATTATCATGTGGTGTTGCATTTGCCATGGCAACCAGACCTCTCCGAACAAACCGCAGACGTGTATGGAATTCATCCTGTGAGGCGGCAAGAAAGCTACTGTTAGGAAAACTGGTTTGTAATATATTATGTACTATAGTACATGATATACAGTGGACCCCCGCATAACGATTACCTCCGAATGCGACCAATTATGTAAGTGTATTTATGTAAGTGCGTTTGTACGTGTATGTTTAGGGGTCTGAAATGGACTAATCTACTTCACAATATTTCTTATGGGAACAAATTCGGTCAGTACTGGCACCTGAACACACTTCTGGAGTGAAAAAATATCGTTAACCGGGGGTCCACTGTATAACGAACAAGAATACAAAAGAATAATGGGAAGCATAAATATTTTTCATTCAGCTTAAATGAGGTTACAGAAGAAAACATTTCTCCCAACAAGAACTTTATTAATCCAAAACAGAGAACAGGAAACACAGTACATATACATAGTGGGTTGAGTTATGTGTTGCACGGACTGTACCAGTGTAGGTAATGGCAGTGTTCTGCTTAAGAAGAATGTGTCTGACCAGTATTTTTGAGATTATGAAGCTGCCAGTGTTTTGATGTTTTGAGTGAAGGTGTTAGTGGTAGTGTACAATATATTTAATCAACTTACATTTACATTCATCAATACATAATTGTGTATATTTAATGATCTTAAATACATGTTTATCTAATGTTTTTTGCCCTTGTAGTCTTAAGTTAGGCCTAAGCTTGTCCAAAATGTTCTACATAACTATGGGCTTTCTGTATGCCATCAACTGTCATCCATCTCTGTATAAACATTGTATCATTATTTTTTTTTTTTATTATCACACTGGCCGATTCCCACCAAGGCAGAGTGGCCCGAAAAGGAAAAACTTTCACCATCATTCACTCCATCACTGTCTTGCCAGAAGGGTGCTTTACACTACAGTTTTTAAACTGCAACATTAACACCCCTCCTTCAGAGTGCAGGCACTGTACTTCCCATCTCCAGGACTCAAGTCTGGACTGCCGGTTTCCCTGAATCCCTTCATAAATGTTACTTTGCTCACACTCCAACAGCACATCAAGTATTAAAAACCATTTGTCTCCATTCACTCCTATCAAACACGCTCATGCATGCCTGCTGGAAGTCCAAGCCCCTCGCACACAAAACCTCCTTTACCCCCTCCCCCCAACCTTTCCTAGGCCGACCCCTACCCCGCCTTCCTTCCACTACAGACTGATACACTCTTGAAGTCACTCTGTTTCGCTCCATTCTCTCTACATGTCTGAACCACCTCAACAACCCTTCCTGAGCTCTCTGGACAACAGTTTTGGTAATCCCGCACCTCCTCCTAACTTCCAAACTATGAATTCTCTGCATTATATTCACACCACACATTGCCCTCAGACATGACATCTCCACTGCCTCCAGCCTTCTCCTAGCTGCAACATTCATCACCCATGCTTCACACCCATATAAGAGTGTTGGTAAAACTATACTCTCATACATTCCCCTCTTTGCCTCCAAGGACAAAGTTCTTTGTCTCCACAGACTCCTAAGTGCACCACTCACCCTTTTCCCTCATCAATTCTATGATTCACCTCATCTTTCATAGACCCATCCGCTGACACGTCCACTCCCAAATATCTGAATACATTCACCTCCTCCATACTCTCTCCCTCCAATCTGATATCCAATCTTTCATCACCTAATCTTTCTGTTATCCTCATAACCTTACTCTTTTCCTGTATTCACTTTTAATTTTCTTCTTTTGCATACCCTACCAAATTCATTCCACCAATCTCTGCAACTTCTCTTCAGAATCTCCCAAGAGCACAGTGTCATCAGCAAAGAGCAACTGTGACAACTCCCACTTTATGTGTGATTCTTTATCTTTTAACTCCACGCCTCTTGCCAAGACCCTCGCATTTACTTCTCTTACAACCCCATCTATAAATATATTAAACAACCACGGTGACATCACACATCCTTGTCTAAGGCCTACTTTTACTGGAGAAATAATTTCCCTCTTTCCTACATACTCTAACTTGAGCCTCACTATCCTCGTAAAAACTCTTCACTGCTGTCAGTAACCTACCTCCTACACCATACACCTGCAACATCTGCCACATTGGCCCCCTATCCACCCTGTCATATGCCTTTTCCAAATCCATAAATGCCACAAAGACCTCTTTACCCTTATCTAAATACTGTTCATTTATATGTTTCACTGTAAACACCTGGTCCACACACCCCCTACCTTTCCTAAAGCCTCCTTGTTCATCTGCTATCCTATTCTCCGTCTTACTCTTAATTCTTTCAATAATAACTCTACCATACACTTTACCAGGTATACTCAACAGACTTATCCCCCTATAATTTTTGCACTCTCTTTTGTCCCCTTTGCCTTTATACAAAGGAACTATGCATTCTCTCTGCACCAACCACTCCAAAACTATATCCCCACCTGTTTTAACATTTCTATCTTTATCCCATCAATCCCAGCTGCCTTACCCCCTTTCATTTTACCTACTGCCTCATGAACTTCCCCCACACTCACAACTGGCTCTTCCTCACTCCTACAAGATGTTATTCCTCCTTGCCCTATACACGAAATCACAGCTTCCCTATCTTCATCAACATTTAACAATTCCTCAAAATATTCCCTCCATCTTCCCAATACCTCTAACTCTCCATTTAATAACTCTCCTCTCCTATTTTTAACTGACAAATCCATTTGTTCTCTAGGCTTCCTTAACTTGTTAATCTCACTCCAAAACTTTTTCTTATTTTCAACAAAATTTGTTGATAACATCTCACCCACTCTCTCATTTGCTCTCTTTTTACATTGTGGAAATAAATTCTGACTTTGAAGCCTCATCATTTGCTTATGTTTGATTCCATGATGATAAGCTTGATTCCAACTTCTTAAAATGATTGTAGGTGTTACACTGTGTGTGTTGTAGGTGTTGATAGCATCATTCCATTGGCATGAGTAATTACCCTCAGTGATGTATTGTTTAGGTTCATAGACATTCCTCCTACAGTAGGTCAGACAAAAAATTGGTCTCAGCACCACCAAGTATACAGCAGTATTCAGTTACAATTTAAAGATCCCTGAGTAAGCATTATGATGACCTCTTAGCAGCACTCCTTGATTCTTTAAATGCTGCCATGTCTTCTATTATTCTTACTGAAAACTAAAATGTGAACATGAGGTCAACATTTATCAAGGTTTCAACCAAGGTGGCAATATCATAGTTAAAAAATCAGGCACAGATTGTACATATGAAACAAGTGATTAACGTGAGCTAGCAGACTTCCTTAGTGACATGAACCTGACTGATACCAAATACTACACAGTATCTACCTAATATAATGCAAGTACAGTGCAATGTTCCTCCTACAAGTACAGTGCAATGTTCCTCCTACAAGTACAGTGCAATGTTCCTCCTACAAGTACAGTGCAATGTTCCTCCTACAAGTACAGTGCAATGTTCCTCCTACAAGTACAGTGCAATGTTCCTCCTACAAGTACAGTGCAATGTTCCTCCTACCTCACTACTGTACACTTAACATCACCAATCATTCACTTTCTTTGTTATTTATCGTTTCTTTGGATCTTTACATTCTGATTGTTATAGAAAAATTCTTTTGTTTTTTATATCCCATTAGCTACTTCATTGTGATTTTTTTACACTGCACTGTTTATATTTACTGTGGTTTATATGTCAGTTTGTGTGCAATCAGCAATAACAGCCTGGTTGATCAGCCCTAATGTTTATATTTCCTTAACTAATTCTTTACTTTATTTTGCATTATAAGTTATTTAATCACTGACTTTTACACTGTACACAGTCCTTATTATCATAACTGATTTTATTTCGGTTGTAGATGAATGGTTCTGAGAACCGACATGTTAAATTAGACACATGTGCAACTCTTGGGTATCTTTATTGAGGAAACGTTTTGCCACACAGTGGCTTCATCAGTCCATACAAAGGAGAAACTTGAAGAACAGGAGGAGAATGAGGTAATCAGTCCCTCAACCTTGAGTCGATGTGGTCAGTCCATCAATCGTTATTAACGCTTAAACTGTGTCCGATGTATCAGTGCGCACAATTTTTCATATCATCAAATCTGCCACCTGCCAATATTTTTGACCTCAGCACAACTCTGTTGGGCTTCTACAATCTATTCATACATTTGAAAAAAATCTAAGGCCCCGAGGATGCACACAATGTATCATGGTTCACTATGCAGGTGATGACTGTGTGTCTGATGTACTAATACACTTAACTAGCATAAGTAAACAATGAACCAGGAGCTGTTGTTCAACCACCAGCTTCACTACCAATAGTGTGTGGAAGTGGCACAAAGATGACTTATTCAGTCCAAATTTAATACTGGCCTACAGAATTTTCCAATGCCAATGGTATCAATTCAAAATTTATTCTCTATAAGGGTTACAATGCTGAGTTTACAGAATTTGGTTATTGTGTGGTTTACATGTAGTAAAATAATAATTACAGAGTGTACCACTAGATCACCTAGCATGGCTAGGCATTTCGGGCAGACTCAGTTTAATTCTTAATTTTAAAATATTACAAATTATGAGGTAAGTGGGTATTATGGGTAAGTGACTAAATACTAGTTTGTGAGTTTAGCAATGTGAATGCTTTTGTTTTGGCACAATACATAGTTTCAGTATTGGAGTATCACAGGATTCATTATTTTAAGATTGAGATTAGAGATATTTCTAAACAAAACTCATAAACTATATAACAAACATTGTCCAATAAAAACTAAACAGATTACTAATAAAAGACTAAGTTGGCCATGACTTACTAACAACATCTTAAGATCCATCAATATGAAACATCAATATGAGAAATAATATAGAAGGGGCTTAATAACTAAAGAATTTATCAAACACTATACGTTAGTCCTCACCAAATTAGTCAAAAGGTCCAAGGAACTATACTATTCTAACAGATTTACCAAAATGAGAGGAGATATAAAAAAGACCTGGAAGACACTCTCTCAGATCCTGGGCAC